TACTTGCCATTGCCAAATAAAGAACGAACTAACGATGCCTCAATGATTACAATAAAAATTTGACTGAATGCAATATTCCAGAACACGCACATATACACATAGACCTTAAGGAGTCAAGCTCAAAGTAGCAGTTTGAAAGTAACTTTCCCTCTTTATATGTAACAGGATAGGTTCGGCACCAACCGTAAATGGTTATTCTCTACAAACATCATCACCTTACCTAAGAACCCTAAAACTCAAAGACCATTTGTTTACTGAGTATCTACAATGTTAAAGTCACTATGAAAAACAATTGAAAGCAGTCTTGGAGTATCTGGGCGTTTATATCCACTGTTTCTAAGGCAGTCTTACGCTGGGAAAATGGAGAATCCCTCATAACAGTTAAGATTTGTTTCAAAGCCCAAAGTAACAATATGCCATAAGAATTTGGTGTCTAGAAGCCTGGCTTTGCCACTAACTGTGAGATCCTGGACAAGTCACATGACTTCCCTGGTCTTAGTTTCTTCTATAAAATGAGGAAATTGGACAAGATAATCTTTCTCTGGGTCCTCCATGAATTATAACACCCAAAGGAAAACAGAGCAGCTGAATGAAAAAATAAATTAAGCTTGTAGTTAGAGAATGCAACTCTGTTCCATATAAATATCCCCTTTTTTCTTTTTTCCATGAAGGAAAATGCTTCAGGGCATTTGGCTTCAGGAAGCAAGGTTAACTGCTATGCCATCAATTGCCAAGAAAGAACAGCTAGTGAAGGAGGAAGGTGTTTGAGAAAGATTTGAATTAGAAGGAATAAAAGCGACCTGACCTTGGTTGGGCAATGAAGGATTGCAACACAAGAGAACTGAGCTGGAAGGCACAAACTAGGGCAGGAACACAAATCCAAGGGCAAAGGAAGATGCTCTTAGAACACAGGATATGATAGCAAGCATGCTCAGAAGGCAAAAGAGCAAAGAGCACACTTGAACATATTCTGTGTATCCTAAACTAATGGGGGAAGTGGTAAATATATGCAGCATTCTGAAAGCAGCAGAAGCTGACACAAAAGCACGGGGAAAGCAGAGTGCAGTGTTCCTCCCTTGCAAGAGCAAAAGCGGCAGCTAAAGAGAGGCGAGGGGAAGCTTCTGGTTGCAAATTTGTAAATCCTTTAACCACTAGAGCCTACTGGTTACTTTATGTAATTTGGAAAAAAAAGAGTCTCACCTTAAACTTCTGGTCATAAGCCCTGACAGAGTCAGCACAGATAGATCACTGCCATCTGTGGTTTGTAAATTCCTTTTTTCTTGCCTGTCAGAGTGGCGACACAAGCACTAAGCTCAGGACACTCAGACGGGCGCACTCCCTCCTCCCTACCTCCCTTTCCATCCCTAACTTAACAACCCATCAATCAAACCAAAGGCAAGGGAACAGGCAGGAGCCAGAAGGCTCTGTCTTGTTTATTCCTCAACATTCCCTCCCCCATCTCTTCAGCTGGCAGGAAGTATGAGGCAGGAGCATTCAACAACAATTCAGGTCAGCAGCAGTTGCTAAGAGCCATCTCTGGACTCTCCTAGAACTCTGGGAAACAGCACAGGGAGCACTGCCAGACAGAGGTATGGTAGACCAGGATCCCGTGAAGGGAAATTCACATCCTTGGCTGACAGGAAATTCCCTAGGCCATAGTGAGATATCTACCTTGATAAGAGAGAAGACCCTGAGGTAGATAATTTGAATATTCAAATATTCCTTATCAGCTAGCAGTCAACATTCTACCCCTGCACCACAGACTCCATTATCTTCTCTCCTATTTCCAAGGAAGGGGAGACTCCAGTCAAGACATTTTCCAAATTTTATGAATTTTCCCTCTTCATAACAGTTCCCAGTTTAGAATGTACAATTCCTAGATTATATCAAAACATCCCTTTAGCTGTTTTGGTTCTGTTGATTGTCCCTACATAGAAGGAACATTCCAAACCAGTTAGGCCATAGGCAAGCCCATTTCTCAGAGAGAACATCTTAAAGAGATTTTCAAAGACTGCTTATGAACTATAGTACTAATCATCAAACAGAAATTGAGCACCCATTATGCCCAAAACTCTGGAGTTCTTGTTTCTCAAAAGCTGCTCCACTGCAAGGTTCCTAACTTTCTTTTCTTTAACGTGTCTCTTCCCCTCCTCCCATTACAGAAATGTTCTCTCCCTGCACAGTGTTTTCATCTCCTAGCAACTTCCAAACATTTATTTATATAATTATTTATTTCAATGGCCAAAGACAATATGGAAGCACCCCCAGAACCAGATTGCCCAAAAGGGTTGAGGGAACCGGGGAAGGAATTGAGAAAGCAGGCTTTTGCTTATTGGTAACATTAAACTCCACAACAAATTTTCTGCTTCTGAAAGTATTTGCCAGCAATGTTATCTACCTTCCAAAAACTGAAGCACAGTCTCTCTCTTCTATCTCATTCCACTGCCCCATTCTCAGTCTCCTTGGAAGGCAAGGCTTATAGCAAAGCAACATTATTAACGGGCAAAATTCCGTGGCACCAGGTGTATTCTTTTTGTTTTTTTTAAAGACATTGGGTCTTGCTCTGTTGTCCAGGCCATAGCGCAGTGGTGTCATTATAGCTCACTATAGCCTCAAACTCCTGGACTCAAGCAATCCTCCTGCCTCAGCCTCCTGAGTGGCTGGGATTACAGGTGCATGCCACCGTGGCTGGCTAATTTTTAAATTTTTTTTTTTTTTTTTTGAGACAGAGTCTCACTCTGTTGCCCGGGCTAGAGTGCTGTGGCGTCAGCCTAGCTCACAGCAACCTCAAACTCCTGGGCTCAAGCGATCCTCCTGCCTCAGCCTCCCGAGTAGCTGGGACTACAGGCATGCGCCACCATGCCCGGCTAATTTTTTCTATATATTTTTAGTTGTCCAGCTAATTTCTTTCTATTTTTAGTAGAGACGGGGTCTCGCTCTTGCTCAGGCTGGTTTCGAACTCCTGAGCTCAAACGATCTGCCCGCCTCAGCCTCCCAGAGAGCTAGGATTACAGGCGTGAACCACCGCACCCGGCTTAATTTTTAAATTTTTTATAGAGACAAAGTCTCACTATGTTGCCCAGGCTGGTCACAAACTCCTGGCCTCAAGCGATCCTCCCATCTCACCCTCCCAAAGTGCTGGAATTATAGGTGTGAGCCACCATGCCCAGCCCCAGGGTTTATGCTTAGCTGAATATATTGCATGTTTTAGCCCAATTACAATCTGAAGGGCAGCCACCCAATCAGTTACTACACCCATATGAGAAAAAATGGGTTCCATTTGCTTCTCCATTGAAGACAATCATGGACACTTAGACTTAAATCCAATATGAAGCTAAGCAACATTAATCCTCTCACCCACAGACTACTACTGGGTGCAGAAGACTGGACATAAATCAAGAACCCTTAAAAAAAAAAGACAGGAAAATAAAGGCCACCTTGAGAAATGTTTTTTAGCACAGGAAAAACAATGATTATCAACATGGATATATGGCAAGAGTTTCTCAAAGCCAGACATAGGGAACAGTAGAACTCCTGGTATTCCTAGGTCTCTTTAAAACAGTATTAGCCATCTGTACCCCAGAGAAAAATGGTAGATCACAGCCAGTACAGGATAAGCCATGCCAGTAACCAGCTGGAATTTGACTCTGCTGAAGTGGACTACAGCATCTGCCACCTAAACACAGGCAGCCTCTCTGGCAGCTGCCACCGGTAAAAGGGAATGAGCCATTGTGTTATTAGTGGAAGAAACTCACAGCCCTGTTACCAGAGATGCCCAGATGTTGCTAGGAGCTACAGATGTGCCAAAGACAAAGACCAAAATACCTACAGCAAAGAAATTACAAGCTACCACTGGAATCCAGGCACTAAGGGGGTACCACCATCCAAACACATACATCCAGTCTTTATTTATTAACATTTACATATGGAAATAGGTATTCCCTGCTGCAGCTGATGTAATTACAGAGAAATCAATTTCTACTGCATCTGCTGGGATCAGCTGAAAGCACAGGGTGAGCAAAGCACAGAGCAGAAAATCAAGAGCCAATGAACAGCTCATCACCAGGCCAGCCACTCTGTAGGAAATTATAAGCTGCTGAAGTTTAAAGCAGCCTGAGCTGACCCTAGACTCACATCTACTTTGCTCCAACCCTGCAAGCTCCGTTTCCTGAGATATAAACTAAGATCATCTTCCCAGAGAAGGGACTCAGTTCTAACTCCTCCTGGGGCTGCAGGCACCTGTCCTTCCAAGTCAAGCAGAAGGCAAGGTATCATTACACTGTTTGGCAGCTATTAAATCGCCAGGAGACTTTGATAATCATAATAATTACAATAGTTGCAGGAGACACCTGGCAAAGAGCTACACCTTTAGTGGCCAAAGAATTTCTTTCTAAGCCAAACTTTCATAGCCACAACACTAACTCACAAGGTCTGATTAAGTATCTCATAGAACAGTCAAAACCTCCTGCCCCAAAATTTTGCCCCTTTGCTCTTTGGTAGCCACCAACAGAACACTTGGTAGATATGTCGTGAAACTTAATTAACCCTTTTTTCTTTTAGAGACCCAGCAGTACCATTTATCCCACCAAGAACCATACTATACATGTAATGAAAAGCTTATTAAGTTTATCATCTATTATGACTCTGATGATGAAATGCCAGTCAAGCTGGGGAACCAAATAAAGGTTTGATGCCAGCCTCTAGCAACAAGTGTCTGTGGTGGGAAGGTCTCAACTCAGGCTACAGAAAATTCTTTCTACCAAGTAGCTGCCCCCGACAACATATATCCTGTTCCAAAATGTCCATGCCTGCTGGAAATGAGTCTGTAGGGAATCCTCTAATTTGGAACAAAACCACATTATCATTACCAGATGCTCTGATCTTGTAATTGGTCATTGCCCACAAACTAATGAGCCTCCCACAGAGTGCACATAGCATTTGGCAGTTGATCCAGGGCAGTTCTGACTGGCAGTGGGCAGCCAGATCTGGCCACCTCTTACCTTTTCAGACTTGACTTTCTTTAGCGGGCGACACTCATTCTCCCCTTCCTCTGGCTCCGGTTTAGCTCCCAAAGGATTGAGCGCTGCCCCAGGCTCAATAGCTATACTCCCAAGTGGCTCCACAGCTCCTGTATCCACCCCTGCACTTCCATCATACTGACCACCCCGTCCTCCCAAGGGAACTGGCTGGAGGACCCCAGGATCCTTTTCTGAACAAGTCCCCACTCCTTCGCTTCTCTCCTTCTTGCTCTTAGACGAGCTGTTCTCCTTTTCCTTTTTGGAGCCGGCTACACTGCGGGATGCCTTAGCCGCCTTCTCTGAGCCCTTGGGAACAATAGCAGCAACCAGGCCTCCTGCATTGGCACCATCTCCTGAGCGCCCCTGCACCTCTTTCTTGCTAGCTGCCCCCTCACTTGGAGTGAACAGGGAAGTCCCTGGAGTGGGTTTGCTAGTGTCTTTGCCACTCTTATTCCTTTTGGATTTTGATTTTCCTTCCTTCCCTTGAGGACCCGGCACTGGGGTCACAAACTTGATGTTGTCTGGTAGTGTGGCCACAGCATTGGGAGCCGGTATCCCCACCTCCTTTGAGCCTGACATTTCCAGTTTCTGCTGGTCCTTTTCCAGATCGGCGTCCAGGTCAATGATGAGATTCCCTACTCCAATGTCCCATTCATCCCCACTGTCGTATGTCTCAACCGGGTTTGCATCCACTCCTTTCCCTCCGGAGGCTCCACTGCTCAAGGACATCTTAGAGTCAACGTCCCACCTCAAGATTCAAGGCTCTTGCTTGCCCCCAGCTTTCCTATTTTCAGCTTCAGCTATGTTCTCAGACCTGCCACATTGGTCAGTACATGCCCAGTGGACAACATCATTGCTGGAAAAAGAAAATTTAAAAAGCTGTTAAAGGAAACAATACAGGCAAGGAGACAGCCTGAAATAAACTCCCACACAAAACAGACCCTTCCTATGGGGCTATCACATCACAATGGACAAGACAAACAGTTTCAATTGTATTTCTAACCAAGTCACATTGAACCTAGGGAAAAGTTAATTCCCACTCCATCTCCCCAGGGGAGAGCACAGTATTTCCAATTGCCCAGAGATTCTGTGGTAAGTCTTAACTAGGAGTTCTCCAGAGTTAGTTTCCCATTCCTGAAAAACTTATTTGTATTACCACTGCCAGCTGGTAACCCTCCTTCAATCAGTACAGGCCTTGGCATATCACAGATTCAAGCTCTAGCACAACTTTGTTCAAACCCCCTTTCTGCTTCCTGTTTTGTAAATTATCAGAGATTCAGAACATAATCTAGGCAAAAGCTTCAAAAGCCCTCTACTAGGCCGGGCGCAGTGGCTCACGCCTGTAATCCTAGCATTCTGGGAGGCTGAGGCGGGTGGATCGTTTCAACTCAGGAGTTCGAGACCAGCCTGAGAAAGAGCGAGACCCCGTTTCTACTAAAAAATAGAAAGAAATTAGCTGGACAACTAAAAATATATAGAAAAAATTAGCCGGGCATGGTGGCGCATGCCTGTAGTCCCAGCTACTCGGGAGGCTGAGGCAGGAGGATCGCTTGAGCCCAGGAGTTTGAGGTTGCTGTGAGCTAGGCTAACGCCACGGCACTCCAGCCCTGGCAACAAAGTGAGACTCTGTCTCAACGAAAAAAAAAAGCCCTCTACTAACAAGGCCTGTCCCTACTAAAAACAGTATAGATTCCTTGTCATTCTACTATAGGGGGAAAAAGTCCTATTATGATTAAAGAGAAAAGCAAGCAGAAGTGAGAAAAATGCAACTCCTCAGAGAGGACTCAACCAATCAGCTTAAGTTCAGAGAAGTTAAATCAACCTTATCAAATTTTGGGTTTCAAATTATGTCTGAATGGTAGGATTCAATGTGGCCTTTCCCACTAAAATACTTATGAAGACATAGAAAAAGAGAAAAATGTTAATCCTATCAAAAACTGGACACTACTAAAAAATCTAACACCAGGAGTTGGATAACTCTTTGTTTTCTCATATAAGATTGATGGCACTGTATCAACAAATACCAGAGCCTTACACTTCATGAAAGAGAGACTGGCTATAAAGGGAGGGGTGTTATTAAAAGGGCAATTTATATCTCTCCACTGTCCCCTGACTCATGAGACGGGGGACGTATACCACCTAGAACAGTAGTCCCCAACCTTTTTGTTTTTGGCACCAGGGACTGGCTTCATGGAAGACAATTTTTCCACAAACGGGTTGGGGGTGGGTGGGCGGAGCTCATGACCCACACTGGGCCGTGGCTTGGAGGTTGGAGACCACAGATCTAGAAAACCTGGCAGCCAACATATACCATCTAGGTATCACTTTATGACAAAGCCAAAAAGTTCTGTTCCTGCTTACTTCTCTGTCCACCATCTTTCTGTATCGATTAAAAAAAAAATAACTTTTATAAGATAACTGAGTAGAAAGAGCAAGCCAGTGGTATCACAATGTATCCTGTAAAGTGGATCTGTAACAGGTAAATGGTACAGATACAGAGACAAGATAAATTGTACTTTTCACCTACTCCCTCAACAGTGTCAAGGAACCAGAGTACAAGGGCAAGAAAAGATGTCATACTAGGAGAGCAAAGCTGTACCAGTGGAATGCCTGCTAGCAACTTGAATTTAAGAGGTATGCACATTAATGTGCCATTTAGTTGTAGATCTGAGAAGAAAATGTATCCCTTACCCAAGTAGAGAGCTTAGTGTTAACGGTAATCAACCACTGTTTATTAGCAAACATCGAGTTTAGGTAGATCTTACTTCATAAAGGATGAACAAAAGGGGGAGGGGGAGAACATGATATAGAAACTATGAAAAAATGTAACCCACAAGGTAAAAGAAACATAATCCCTCAGGAGTCAGAGAAATAATACCTCTGAAAATGATCTAGAATTCTAAAGAAATTTTTAGTAAACTCTTTGGAATTCTCAACACAACACAAGAAGACTTGGTCTCCATGAAATAGTAGTGTAGCAGACTTTTGTTCATTCATTAGAAATTTTTTTATTTATTGCCTACTATGTGCCAGGCACTAAATTAGGTGCTGGGAACACAGCAGTGAATAAAACAGTAAACAAGACAGTGGAACATGGTACTGAAAATAATTTTTCTACTGTGAGGGGCAGAGGGCATTATAGGAAAGGAAATGCCAACTGAATCTCCATGACAGAGGATTATTAGAGCACAGTTCTTTTCAAAATCATAATTTATTACCTCTGCAATCTTTGCAATTGTGGCTAGGCTTAGAGCATAACCCACATTAATCTAAGGCTTATCCACTATTCTCAGTATGTAATTTAACCATTAAAACAACCCCATGTTGTTTTATTCTTGGAAAACAAAACTTTCCTTAGATTCAAAAGTGCTTCCTCTAAAAATAGGATAGTAATGGAAGAGAGACACTGGAGCAGTAAGGAAAGCATAACACATATAAAAATGTTAGTACTGAGAGCTTCTGACAGTTCTCACTCTACTGTCTGGCTGACCCTTGTATGAGGCAGGATAAACAAACTATGCCAGTAAGGGAGAACATTAAGAAGATAACAGGTTAAAATGAAAAGATATAACTTAGTTGAAAGGACAAAAGGATATAACATTAAAAAAAAAAAAGTAAGATCCAAGGAAATGAGAAATGTAAAATTCACACAGAAATCAGAAAAGCACAGAACTGAAACTATGGAAAATAAATCAGTGAATTATAAGAAAACTTAAGGTATTTTTCCATGTTGCAAAGGAAAACACAACGAAAAGGAAATGGTGACAGAAACTGAGAGAGAGCAAGTGTTTAATACCACTGAAGGAAAACTGAAGAAGATACTAGAACAAATGGGGAAAAGCAACCTATCAAAGACATAATAAATGTCTTGAGCTAAACAAAGATTCTCCACACAGATTGAAATGGTTCACTACATTTTCAGTAAAATCAATTTAGTAAGTCAAATTCACACACATACTAGAAAAATTTTTAAATTACAAAGGACAAAAATTGGGCCGACTTCAGACTGTTCTGTAATATTAAATGTTAAAAGAGAATGACAATCTGCAGAATTTTGAAAAGAATAGGTCAGGAATCTTACACTGAGCCAAGTTGTTTGTCATGTGTAAAAACAATGTATTTTCAGTTATGTAAGAACATATACATATCCATCTTGTTAAAAATTACCTAAAGCACTAAAATCAGTTCCATGTAGCATAAATTTAAATAATTCTTGTAAATACAAATACCAACAGCATTTTGTAATCTAAGAGTAAATTCAATGCAGATATTAAAGATTATCCCTGAAAAAGATACAAGGCAAAATCAGTACTTTAATAATGTAGCTCAAAAGGTTCCACCTTATGGAGCAATGGATACGCTGAAAACAAAACAAAAGAAAACAAACAAAAAAACCAGTTCTACCTAACACCAATAAGGAAAGACAAATCATAAGTTATAATGCTGACACTTACTCAAATTCCTCTTGTTCCAATTCCATGTGTCATGGAAAATTGTTTTTTGTTTTTTGGGTTTTCTTCTAGTAAGCAAGTACTATTGCCATTACATTTTTTTTAATTGTACTTTTTCTAAAAGGGTAGCAGGAGATGAAAAGAACATCTGATGGTCTGTGCTAATTTCCAGATGCCCCATCTTAAGTGAGATAGTCATTAAATGAAAGGATGTATGAAAGCATAGTATGGTAAAAGTCTGGGAAGTCATTTTATATGAAGAAAAGTCTCAAAAACTGGGATTCTTTAGTCTGGAAAGGAGAACACTGAAGGGAGACAAACTGGTTAGCTTCAAATATACGATGGTTGCAACATGGAAGAGGTAAGTTATTCTATGATGCTGCGGGTAGAAATAGGATCAGTAAGTAGAAGTTACAGTAAGACAGATGTTAAACTTAGGAAAAAGTTTAATAACCTGAGATTTCTAACAAGGACCATAATGTTTAATGAAATCATGTCTTTATCACTGAAAGTATTTGAGCAGAAAAGCATAATACCTGTCAAGCAAATACAGAAATTTTCCCCTATGTGCTGTAGGGTTAGTCTAGACTTGCTTGGAGCCTTTTTCAATCTATAATTTTATTAGTGTACCTATCAAAAAATGCTTTCTCTACGAGTTTTCTGAAAACAACCCAGAATTTCTGAATGATCAGGATGCAAAGAAAACGTATCCTGAGGACTGATCTTCAGTGACCTTGATGTTCTCTAAGAGAGTCCGTGTACTCCTATTTTTGAGAGTTAAGAGTTTTCATAAGTACTGCTTTTCAAGCAGGTGACTTTTCAGAAATCCAGCTTTCCAAACTCGGCAGGCTCTATAGTAACTTTGGTGGCACATTTCCAAAGATACATTGTAAAACTGCCAAGGATCCTTTACCAGTCTGTAGCAGCCAAACCACTTCCCATCTGCTCCTTGGCTTTATACAGCTAATAATCAACTCTTCGACAGGTCACTGCAGAGATGTTTAACCCCAGGAGGCAGGGTAACTAACATGCTAGCTGGAAATGAAAAGCACTGACCTCTTACTTCGATGGCAGAGAAAGTGCAGAATCAGGAGAACCAATACCTTACAGAGACCACAAGGCATTTAACAATTTGCAAGAGATTTTATGAATATTTTCCTCTTTTTTTTTTTTCTTCTACCTAATTGTATTCTACTTCCTTATTTAGGACTGCAGTTCACTTTGTGCTTGGTTCCTATACCTGATCACCAAGAAACTACTCTGCATGGATATGGCTAAGGGAAAGATAGGTCATGACAATCACTCTCCTTAGCTTGTACCAACCCAAAGCATTCATGCTTGAAAGTTAACACATCGTAACAGAAGTTCAGATCCTAGTTTCCTGTCTGGAACCTAAACCCG